TTTCCAAAGTTAGTATTTTCACTGGCCACAATTCTGACATCGATACCAATGGACAATAACTGCTATATAGATATTTTTAATATTAACTCATAATTTGTCAGCAGGTATATTAGGCTGCTGTCACTTTAATACCTGCAACTGTTACACACGTGTTTTCTTTCTCAACTATGTTCACTTGTGTTATGTTTTAAGTGCATGTTTACGTTCACTTAAACATAACTGACTGTGTTTACGTGAATACTACTCACCAAGACCGACATTAAGTGTGTATTTGACTGTTTAAGTGCGATAAGCAGCGAAAACAAACTCAATTTAGTACTGAGAGGAGGCTTTATGTGCGCGCACTTTGGGTGTGAGCACAAAATGTGCGAAAATTAGTAAAATGATGTGCAATATGCGCAATCCCACGCCGAAATTCAAGCCTTGTAACACCAACAATATTCATCTGGAGCAAATGAAATGAGTGAATGAGGGGAGGTGGGTTTGTGTGTAACTCGCTGTCAGAGAGATGAAAGAGCGAGAAATCGCAGCTGGTAGGCTATCATGTATCTAAAATAGGTATTGGAAGGCCTACATAGGCCAAAATCACATATATAAAAATATCAATTCGTTATTAGGAATTTTAGCAATATTACTGTTAGCAATATAACAGGTTAGAAATTAAAATTTCTCATATCGTGGAATGATTTTGGGTGATTTTTTACTTAATTGTTAAAAATAAAATGTTTTGGGCTCAAAAATTGGAGGGGGCACATTTATATGAGCATGACACTTCGCTTCTGGCTATTAGCAGAAACAAACAGGAGCTTTAAAAGGGATCCGCTCCACGGTTTGAAAGTGGAATGACCTAAAGTCTCCCTGTCTTGGTGCTGAGTGTGTGCAGGCTGTGCCTCTGCCATCCTCAGTCTAAAGCCACAGATGCTGCAGTGTTTGTGTGTTGACTCTGTGTAATTTGTTTGCACTAATTTGTTTTGGGGTATCTGGGGAGTTCCCTTTTTAATTTGCCTCTCTCTGTTTACCCCTCTTTGTGGAGCACTGATCTGTTAAGCAGCAGTAAGAGCAAGAAAGAGAGAGGAAAAGAGAGAGAGAGATGGGGTGTAGAAGAGCCTAAATTAATAGAAGGTACTATGCAGATTGTTTTAAGCTCTGGCTGCTCCGTCGGGCCCAAAGGCCTTGCTCGCAGCCTGCACCTGCTCCATCCCGCGGGAACCTGGTTCCTGATCCGTGGCCCCTCTCCCTCTCCTGTCTCTCTTCTCTTCTCTCTCTATCTCCATCTCTCTCTCCCCTGCTGTTTCCTCTGCACGCCTCCAGTGCCTGGAAACGCCTTAATCAGCCCTCCTCTGCGCATGAATGGCTGCCACTCATTAGCCTGATTGAAAAGATGGTAGCTCATGCTAAACACACGCATACACACATGCACACACAGGTTGGAAAACATTCACACACTGACTTTTTGAATATTAAAACCTACATTTAAGCAATTTAATGCAAGAGTGTTGTTGTTCCGAATATCAGCATGACAGGCCATAAACAAAAGTTGAATACTGAGTAACTTACTAACAGTTCAACAAACAAAACATTAATATTAGGTAACTTAAATTTTAGGCAGAGTATTGCCACGTACTTGTTCTATTTTTGCTTCACCAATGAAAAAATACTGTTGTCAAAGTAAAATCAAACATCCAAGCAACACACAATAGTGGTGTTTTGTTTGAGAATGAAGCAGAGTTTTGAATGAACTTACTCATAAAACAGTGGCTGTATCCTAAATCTCAGTATATGAAAAGAGTAACATGTCTAAATTCACAGTATTCATAAAACAGTATAGGCAAAAAGTACCTGGATGACGTATTACTTCTGGTGAGATTCTAAAGTGTGCATCTGAAGGACACTTTACTATACCATGGCATGAGGCTAATGGAAAGGATTTGTGAATGACAGTGAAGCAACACAACTGATGCTGGTAATAATAATAATAATGATAATTTGTTACATTTATATAGCGCTTTGCTGGGTACTCAAAGCGCTTTACATGGAAGGGGGTAACTCACATGACAACAACAACATGACAAGTGTAGTCTGTCCGGATTACATTCATACACACATTATTCGTACTATATAGATAGTACTTTTTAACGCTCGCAAAGTAGTTACTTGTTCAAAAGAAGTACCTACTCAGAATAGCCTATGCGATTTTGGATGCAGTTGTTTTGTTTTGTTTCTGAATGAATCAGTTTTAACCGAACTGGTGCCATGAATGATTCAATGACTCACTCATAAAAATTAATTCCTGAATGAATCAGTGCTTTGAACGAATCGGTACAGTGAATGATTCAATTTCTCACATATAAAAAAAAGGCTGCATTCCGAAATCGCATACCTACTTTATAGTAGGCGAAAAACAGTGTGTGACAAAAGAAGTGTTCGAATTCACAGTACTCCTAAAAGAGAAGCCAAAAAATTCCCAGATGACCGACTTCTGGTGAGATTCTGAAGTAATAGCTTAGTAAAAGCTCGTGAAGTAAAAGCTCGTGAAGTAATAGCTTATTCAAATGCCTACTCAAGAGAGTATGCAATTTAGTAGCCAGACATTTGTTTTGTTCCTGAATGAATCAGTGTTTTGAATGAACCATTGAAGTAAATGATTCAATGACTCGCTCATAAAAAGGTCACTCGTTTAATTCCTGAATGATTGAGTGTTTTTGAATGAATCGCTAAAGTGAACGATTCAATAACTCAATCTTAAAAACAGTCACTTGTTCTGTTCTTGAAAGAATCTGTTTTGAACTAATCGGTTAAAATAAACGATGTGACCTGAAAAAAGGACAGAGACAAATGGAGTGACACAAACAGTAAAAAGTAAGTGCCACTTGACCTCTCAAATCTGAGGACCTGAACTGTTGCATAATTCCCTAGTAAATGTAAAAGTGGAAAACAAAAGTAAAGCGTCAAACCACCAAACAACAACAACCAGCAACTAATTGCATTCACTGGCTTAAATGGTTTGGAAGAGAAAAACATGGCTCACACACACTTTGAAATCACCACAGCTATTTTAATTGATGTTTTGGAGCAATCATTGTCAAACAACCACTCAGTTCAGGATAACTAAGCACTCATGGGGGGATCTCAGTTATGCACATTTTAAATAGTAGAATCTTTGTCTACATTGCCTATATATTTATAACCATCATTTTGCTTCCATAGACAGGAAATTAACTCTGTAATATGGCTTCAAGATCTAGTAACAGATCTATAGCAAAATGGACTTTGACATCTTATGAGAGCATAATCCAGCTATGTTCTCAACACACAGACACATCTCTAAAAGTCTATTAATAAACATATATCACAGGGTAGAATTAAAATGCATTGGTTAATGCACATTTTTGAATGTGAATTTGGATACAACTGTTAATCAAAATGACAATTTTTAGTTGTGCATCTCCTTTAGTCAATGAAAAAGCTTAATTTTTTTTTATTAGGCTACTTTATATCCAAAAATAATCTGCAAAATTAAGTAATATTAACACAAAATGAATATGAGACTGAGTTTACGACGTGTATTTGACTTTGGATCTATGCAGGGAATAAAGATATCCACTGGTGCACTTTACACCAGCTCACACAAACACATGCAGGTAAATGATGTATTACATTTAGCTACTGTATATCACACACACACACACACATATAACACATCCCACTGATTGTATGGACCCTGTTTTAAGTCCTCTCATTTTTCCATCCATCCAACTTTACATTGTCCAATCATCTAAAATGTGCAAAACAACAATGGAAAGTACACAACAGAATTCTGCATGAAAGATCGAACCTTACAGGGATTTAAATCATTTCATTTAGTACAGGCTTGGGTTTCAAGTAAATTCAACAGAAAGAGGGTGATCTCATCATGCTGCTGTTGATCACAACAATGTTCCCTCAACTAAGGCAAATCTGCTCATCTGCACGCACTACACTTTGGTACATAAATCAGACACTTGGATAAAGAAAATGTATAATTAGACTCCACCAAAGCTGACTGCTTAGTTTTCACTAGAGGTTTACTGTTGTTATTAATATTTAGAAATATTCTTTTAAGGCAGAAACTTGAAGTGATGCCCGCAAAGGCAATACAAGTGGCTGCATAGGACCACCTCAATATGTGAATGGTCACAGTGCCCTCTGGTGGTGACATGCAAAGCAGGTCTGTTTAACAGAACCAAAACGGAAAGAGACACATGGGGATGAAGAGAAAAGACTGTCACACACGTACAAATGGTTGCAGTCAGGCACACAGGTATTAAGCACCATTCAGACAGACCAAGAGTCAGCTGACACTGATGACACACACTGGAGCTATAACCAATACAAATTATAGGAAGGGATTATGTTCTATTGTAGCCTAAATATTTGTGAAGATTCGATTCTCGTTTTGTTATTTTGTGTTTAAGCTTTTTAAATCTTCATCAGTCCTATTTTTAAGTACTTTAGCTGACCTCGGAGCAGGAGTTATTAGGTTTAAAGTCACCATGAAGTCAAAACTGACAAATCTTAATGGAATATTGCAGTATTTATAAAAAATTAAATAAATTCATGTGCCCTCATAATCTTTAATCAAAATAACTTCCCCTCCCTCTTGCAACTACATCTCTTCTCTGATGACATGTTTGCTGCCGCGAGGGCGGGACGACCTGTCAATCACATGAGGTCGACCAATCGCAAACCACAACGATCCAATCAATTCCGACATTTTTACTTGTTTGAGAAGCCGTTTCACTCGGATATACATCACAATAGGGAAGAAAAGACTATCTCAACTTCCGTTTCATGCCGACTTTAAACAGAAGAGAGGCATTCACACAGAAAAAAAAAACTAACTCTCAACCTCACACAAACATCCTAGAATCAAGCAAGCTAATGTTTGTCTACATGATTCTGTTCTGGAGCAAATGTTTGATCAACATTTGAGAGAAATGCCTTGACTGGTCTTACAAATTCAATGAGTTGAATTTCAATCGTTTCCTAGAAATTAAAGCCAATTCAAAACCATACTGAAACTGTGGACAAATGAACTGCTGTAATTTAAAACATCTGAGAAAGATGGATGAGATATAATGTTTTTACAAAGGTGACTGTCCAAGATGTACAACTGAGAACGGATGGTCTTTTACACGTCTCACAACGGGAACTGAAGCGAGCGTCCGACTTTTGCTTGTCCATGACTGATGTCAAGTTGTATACACACGTTTTGTTTCTACTTCAGGTCCATCAAAGTGTGATTTATCCAGGCATGAATGATCAATATCAGTTTTGTGTGCCAGCAGATAACAACCACCACCTCTATTAGATTTAACCCTTGACCTGCTCCACATCTGAGCCATCTACTTCAATGTCAGAGTCTGAGAGCGAGCGTCCAGAGTGGTCAGAGTTTGAGTTACTGTATGAAGGCAGGCTTAGATCGCTCTCCTCTAAAGTGTCGGTCCTGGAAAAGAGACCAAGGTCCAGCTGGTAGGTGGGCGTCCCGCTGCTGTCATTGTCGCTGTCATAACAGAAGTCCTCTAAGTCCACAAACCATTCGGGCCAGAACTTCCTCCGTATGCGCTCACAGTACATGGCGAGGTTGATCAGTTCTCCTGTACACAGATAGACATAATTGTTTGTGTAGCTTTCTTGAAACATGTCAAAAAGGGTTAGATTAATGGCGATTAACAACTCATACACGGTAACACTTTACAATAAGGTTCATTTATTAAACATTAGTTAATGTATTAACTAACATGAACTAACCATGAGCAATACATTTGTTACTGTTTTTGTTAATCTTTGTTAAAGTTAGTTAATACAAATCCAGCTGTTCATTGTTTGTTCATGTTAGTTCACAGTGCATTAACTAATGTTAACAAGATTTTAATAAAGTATTAGTAAATGTTGAAATTAACATATACAACGATTAACAAATGCTGAAGAAGTATTGTTTATTCTTAGTTAATGTTAACTAATGTAGTTAACTAATGAACCTTATTGTAAAGTGTTACCACTTACTTTATCACAATAATAAAATAAATAAAAACAGTTAAACATGAAAGTATTATGCAATCATTTAAGACATTTCTCCTTATATAGAACCTTTTTGGCATAAATTATTCTTTAAATCTGAGTCAGGAACTCTAGGGTTCTATATAGAAACCCATTGAACTTTTTATCTAAGAGTGTAATTTTAATAAGAATACAGCGACATATTTCTATACTGCTGAGGTGAATTGGCATTCTGTGTATGTGACTGAACTGTAACATGCAGAAGCACAAATAAATGCTTATAATGCCATCTAGTGGAAAAAGTAAATAATTACATTCAGCAAACTGCCATGCAAGGGCACAAACATTTTAAATACCGGTAGTTTATCCAAAAAATTTAAATTCCAATACCTTACTCACTTTCCCCAAACCTGTTTAATTTTCTTTCTTCGGTGGAACACAAAAGATGTTATTCAGAATGTTCGTGCTGCTCTTTTTTGAAACAATTAAAGCTCCAAAAATAACAAATGTACCCCAAAGTACTAAACAAAATCCAAAAGACTTGTGCACTATATGTTAAATATATTCTAAAGCCATATGATCACAATGGCTTTTAATTGAAAATCTTACTTTTTTGTCCTCCCATCCCCAACCCATCCCCATTCACCAACATTTTATAGAATAGAATAAGTTGAATATTCTGTCTAACATCTCCTTTCTTGTTTCATGGAAGAAAGAAATCCATGCATGTTTGGAACATCATGAAGTTGAGTAAATAATGACATTATTGGATAAACTGTCCCTTTAAAAACCACAACATCCAAAACTCAAGACATGCATGAATCTCCCTTTTGCCCTACAAATATCACTACTTATGTTTTAATCGGCCAGGCAATAATTTCTGTGACTAATGCTGAACATTATGTTTCTATTAGGAGTGCAAAACTGCAGTTGTGAGGTCTTGGTCACCTTTAATGAGCTGCTCGGGCCGTGTTCCAGGCAGCGTCCACATGGCTTGTGCAAGGTGACCGAACACTGTGGCATCCACACTGGACAGTTTGGGACCCATGATGTACTTCTTATCCCCTGGAAGTCCAGAAAATAAATATTAACCCCCAGCCATAATGTAAGACAAACAACAGACTTCTTTAAAATGGTTTCAGAAACACATTACCTTAAAACAGCCACTACAAGAAAATATTTATAACCTTTAATTTATTCAGTTGGATCAGATGGATCCACTTCAACTCCATGTGGTGACAAGTATGTAAAATATTGTGTCTTCGTGCTTTGTGACAAGTGTAGTTTCACACTTTGACACTTGAGCTATATAATACTTGCAGGAATATATATATTTTTTTAAAAGGCCGATGATTAAAAAAAAACATACAGTTTTAAGGCCTGGAATAAACAAAGTTACACTACCGTTCAAAAGTTTGGGGGCAGTAAGATTTTTTTTTTAATGTTTTTGAAATAAATCTCTTATGCTCACCAAGGCTGCATTTATTTTTTCAAAAAATATATATAAACAGTAAGACTGGGAAATATTATAACCAAACAAGTTAAAATAATTTTTCTTGAATATATTTTAAAATATAATTAGTCAGTGTCACGTGATCCTTCAGAAATCATTATAATATGCTGATTTGGTCTTTAGGAAACATTTCTTATTACCATCAATGTTGAAAACGATTGTGGTGTTTAATATTTTTATTGTTACATTTTTTCAGGATTATTTACATGAATATAAAGTAAAATTTTATTCAAAATGTAGCATTTATTGACGTATTGACGTAACAAGACGAGAATCAACATTGGCTTGGCTTTTTCGGAGATGGCGAGAACTGAGAGGTTTGAAATGTAGTAAAATTGACACGGAGATGGGGTAAATTGCCATATGTAGCTCTCTAACAGAGTTCATTATAAAGAATTATTATTGGGAAGGGTCATTTCATTATGTGTTGTTGTAGTGCTGTGCTGGAATACATTTTTTAAGGAAGTACCATGTCTATTAATGAGTATAGCTACAGTAACATCTTCAGCTGGTCAGCTTGAGACCCTTTCCATCTAAACTGGTTATATCTTAAGCCTAGTAGTGAATATTTTATGAGCAGTAGGATAATATCTATATCTTTTTTTAGTTCACGGTTCACATCCGCACAGTCATGCAGAGCCGAAGCACAACCAAAACAATGTTCTTCTGCAAAATGCATACAGTTTCGTTTTTTTTTAAAACACATAGTGTACCTTTAAACATTGTGATCACATAAGAAAAACATGCTACTTTAAAGCTTTATTTCTTGTTCTCCTCACCTAGCAGTGTGGCCAGTGTGCGCATGTCCTTCTCCATGAGGGTGTAAACCTCCTCTTTAGTGAAGCAGCCAATGCCATGACAGTACATCTCCCTCTTTACAATCCCACCAGTCAGCTGACACAGGGTCCATTTGAGCAGGTCACTGAGGGGTCCGGGAAGGTCCAGCATCCTCTGAGTCTCCTGAACATTATCCACCCACTGACAGTATGCAATGGTCCTGTGAGGACGAGAGAGAATTAGAGGTGATTCCCTCCATAAATATGTATAAAGAGTCATTTGTACTGTGGAGAAAAAAAGTCATATAATGAAGACAACCTGTTTAATAATAATACTTATTGTTATTATAATATAAGTAATTGGCTTTTATATTGTCATTTTTCTATGACAGTGTATTTGATGAGACTTCGTAGATTCGTTTCAATTTCTTAAAGATAAAAACCTGAAAGATTTTTTTTGTATGGATTTTAAACCTAGTCTTTAGAAAGCAGATTTGACATACTAAGTGCATTATAACATGCAGTATAACCATAGAATAGAGTGTACGGTAGTTTAGACTAACATATTTGAAAACTTTACTGTATGTAAATATATGTATGGATGTACTGTATATTTAAATGCCTAATACGTTTATTTAGCAGCTGATTTAATCCAAAACAACTTGCAAATGAGGAAATCATGAGGAAAACAAATAATTGACAAGCGATTCATCATAATATGGGCTTATTTATAATTCCTAGTTTATTATAACTGAGTGCAGCTTCAATATCACACAGAAAACAAACTCAGTTTGGCCTTTGAGATTCAACTTTGAATTAATTCTCTGCTCTGTGATTATCTGAATCAAATTAATTAAAGCGGTCTTCTAATTAACTTCTTTGCACACTAGGCAAAGCGTTAATAAAAGTCGTTCATCCAAAATGGCTTCAAGCGCTCTTTGGGTTCATGGCTTTGAACTCACCACTTGGAATTTACAATCAGCCTTTCATCAGGTTTAAATCAGATTCAAAGCTTCAGTGTGCAAGTTCTGCGCCAAAATAACAACTTTATTCATCCATGTTGCATTGACCAACATGGCATTTTAATTTGTAATGACATAATACATAAATTCCATGAAAAATGACTGTATTCTACACATTTGTTAATATGATATTACAAGGTCTTTTTATTTAAATGGGTCAAGTGTGTTAGGAGGTTCATTTCTTGACCAAAACAAACTAGTGTTATAATCCATTTTTTCTGTCAATATCCCAGCATGACATCCATAACTCTTATTCATAGCTCAATAAATGTCCCTGCTCAGTAAGCTTTTCAGCTGACATACACAACACCACTCTGAAGTGGACAGATATTTAAACCCATGAATTATTCAATCAATAGCCATGTGGGAGCCTATATATAGCACAGTGTAAAGCGTTTCTGACAATGTGAAGACAATGCACAGGAAAAAAAAGAAGAAAAAATTATTTCAAGGAAGCTAATAATGCAAAAGCAATGAAGAGGAGTAGATTAGGTTGTAAGAAAAGAATGTCTATACCATTGCTCTTCCCCCACCTTGATCTTCCCCTCAGTATAATGCTTACTCTAATATACCCAATGTGTAGGAGAATGTTTCAGCTCGAGTCATTAATTTGATAAATCTGATGCTTGCACTGCAAATCTTGCCAGCTGTACACTCCAGGCTTATCATGCATATTTTTTTTATTTTAATGGTTTACTATTACAGACTCTACAACTGTTCGTTGATTTTATTATGTAAGCAGAAATGGCTATTTTTTAAGGATTGAAATCTTACAATTGAAATATTCCAATAATTTGGAATAGAAGATTTGAAATATTTTTCATAAAAAGAACATTCACTTTGATTAAGTATTACAAAAATGATGAAGATTATTAATCTACTTACGGTCTAGTTAAAATCTGTAATGTGTATGGCAGCTTTGTACTTCTGGACAAGTCGTACTAAATAAAATAAGTACCAAGTCTAAAATTCAGACAAAAAATCATTTCTATAGAATGATATATACACATTTTAAAGTTAAAAATAAATTATATGCATTTAATTAATTTAATTAATTTTTAATAATAATAAAAAATGAACTAAATAATTGTATTACCGGTATTATAAATGTAAATATATTCACCAACCTAAAGGATGAAGCATGATTTATACTTTTGGGTAATAGTTATATTTGTATACCGTATTTAAGCCCTTGCATCAAAAATGAGTTTTTTTACATATCACATATTGCATTTTTCTTCAAAGGTTCATTTCCTGACCCCAACCCTCCAGTGTTATAATCCAGATTTTCTGTCTATATCCCAGCATGACATCCATATAACCCCCTGCTCTAGTCAATAATCAGTAAGTGCATATTTGTCCCTCACAATCCAGCAACGGCTCAGTAGCAGGAGAGTGACTCATTCTGAATGCCAGCACATGACTCACCAGTACAAGTGTTCCTCCACCATGGTGGTGATGGCCCGTGCTACCGCCTGCTCCTGAGCGCTCAGACTCTTGTTCAAGCTCATACCAAGTTTCTCCTCCAGAAAGTCAATTATAAATTCAGTTCCACATACCTGCTCGTAGTTATACTCAACCCAAGGCATCTTGCCCTGGGAAGAGAGGCTTCCGTCAAAGTAATTCTGCAATGAAAGAAACATAATGAGGGTGTAAAAGATGTGAATAATAATAATAATAATGATAATAATAATCTTTATTCTGGAGCATCTGGATGTGAATGAAATAAAAAATTTTCTAAGGGCTTTCATGAATTTCATTGACATTTCAACAGCAGATGGTGCCACTTCTAATAACTGCATGTAACCATTGATCAAAAGAAATCCATAATCCATACAGCTCCTTCATGCATACTTGATAGGGCAGATCAACCATGCGCAGATATGTCTCCATTTTCAGGCAGAAAGGTGACAGGCTTGGCACCCCATTTTTTGGCCTGGAGAACTGGTGAAGGATGATGGCGTCTTTAGAATCCAATTCTTGCTCTTTCCTGTAAGGAGGCGATCAAACAGATTTTAAAATCAGACCAATCTATTCGAGATTTCCATATGAACAGATGTATAGTAAGTCAAAATGCTGATGGTTAAATATCAGAGTCTGACAACTTCACATGTATTCATTTGCCATGCATTTTTTTATCTAAAATGACTTGCAGCTTATTTATGGTACGCATTTTATCATAATATCATATTTGTTCCCTGGGAGAATTCATCACCCTGGCATTGCAAAGCATTATGCTTTACCAGTTGAAGTACAGAGAGAACATGGTTTTACAGGAACAAAATTTAGCCTTAAAAGCAGCCATTTAGCCCCCAAAAATCTCGTGGAGTGCAGTGGAAAACAACTTATACTGTAATTATGTGTAAACAGCAGGATGTGTGTGGGAGGACACACACAGGCAGGTCTTATTTTACAAGCAGCAAATACAAGTCCAAGCCTGAGCTTTCAGAACAACACAACCTAGTCCTATTCTGATCACAAACAACTTTAAAAACTACAGGCTGCAAAATTCAAATTCTTTAATCTCAATCAATAATCTAAAACAGGACAAGTCTGTCTTATCCATCATTAATAAAAAGCAATCATGATTTCTACACTCTACAAATAATATACAAAACAACTGATTGGAGATTCATTTTCATAATGATTACATAACATGAGTAGTTACAGCGTATTACACCTGTGGGTCTGTAATTAACCATAATGGTAACAGGAAGTTTACCTTATGCATTGTTTTATGGTATGTAATTCTTAGAGTTAAAGGGATAGTTCACCAAAAAAATAAAAAATTATGTTATTAATTACTCACCCTTATGTCGTTCCAAAACCCGTAAGACTTTCTTTCATCTTCGGAACACAAATTAAGAATTTTTTTTTTATTAAATCTGAGAGCTTTCTGACCCTCTATTGACAGCTACGCAACTACTACCACTTTGATTTCACGTTTTCAAAAAGTTCATAAAGAGATCGTAAAACTAATCCATATGAATCAAGTGGTCCAAATTTTATGAAGAGACACAATTGCTTTATATGATGAATAGGTTGAATTTAGAATTTTACTCACATATAAACATTAATCAACGGACCCATCAGTTGTTTCACATGTTTGCTTGACGTGCGAGTGAGATTCATTCTTGTGTGTTACGCAGCACTTTTGAGCTTCCGCAACAACCAATGAGGTTTGTTCTCGCGCTGCGTCGCGCATCAAGCAGGTTCGGTAGAGCTTCTTTTATGTTCGCTGATCATGAGGGTGAATTTTCATTTTTGGGTGAACTATCCTTTTTAGCAAACTGTCACATGTCATTAACCAGGCCAAAACAACTTGAATTATTTTCCCAATTAGTCTAAAAAGGCCATTCAGTTTTGTAAGGACTCCACTCACCCTCTAGTCTAAGCTTTACATTTCAGATGCTTCCATGTGACTAAAATGAATATTCTGATGCACTAACAATGTCTATTTATGTCTAATGGTTGTTTATTGCACACATTTGTCTTTTTACGTCAATATCAAAGACTTATTTCCATTCTGTGGTAAACTGAATAGATAAAGCGTAAAGCATCAGAATGGATTGAATGCTGCAGAGCTGAGGGCTCAAACATGACGCTGTCCACTGCTAACGGTGCTGAAATCCCCCAGTGAAGTATTCTATGAGGATGAGAACGTCTCTTGCCACATTAAAACAGCTGTAAGTCTGTAGGTTAAGACTTCCAACAGCATAGCAGCTCACCTGAATTTATTAGGTAATGGCCAGCAATAAAGGTCGCTTGTACAACACAACTCAAGGACATCGCGATCCAGTGAAGTAAACAGTCACGATCACGTGCCGCATAATATGGCGCGTCATTTACACAAGAAACAAATTTATTAAGGTGCTGCTGTTGTTCTATGCCAATGTAAACAAGAGCAATTCCAGCTGAATACTGATGACAGGGCGTTTTCATTATGCTCCAGTGCGGCCGAAAACCGCTAGTGCATGTAACGTTAATCTAGAAAACGTGACTTGACGCGAGCTCAAACAATGTACACAAAACACAAAACTCACTGGAACTGACACTACCATGCGTACTAATATGTACATTTTACAGGTTCAAATGTATAAAGCATTTATGATGCGATATTATGAACAATGACAGATGGTAATTTCATACATCATGTGACATCACATTCACTGTAGGCCAAATCACTGACCTGATGGAGAGCAGCTCGTGCAGTAGATACGCAGCCGCAGCCAGCAGGGCACCTCCGGTGATGTAAAGCGTCTTCCTCCACCAGGAATCCGATACCAATCCCGACATGATCCCACCGATATCCTGCACAGGGACGGCAACTATGTCCCCATAAAATAAGTGACGCTCATCAGAGCCACACAACCCGAAGGACGGGCTCTGATTCCGGCCGAGATCAACCACGAACGACCGGGAGGAGGCGAAACCAGCAACCCAGTACATTCTCTCTCTCCCCCCGCTTCCTCCAACGAATCCTACGCCACTTCATTTATCCATATAAATATGGACAGTTGTTACATGGTTGTGTGCTATGTCGGCCTCGTAAGACAAAAGAAAAGCATTTTAACGGGATTTGGTTCCTGCACGGAGCTCCGCATCCTCCTTTGTTGCTGTGCTGGAGCTGAGTGACGTCACGGCGCATCACACATGGAAACTAAGCAAACAAACACATTCAGGCTTTTTATAAAACTAAATGCGCAGGCCTAAGCATTATGTGAGGGACACATAGTTTTACACGGAGTTACAATATACATACATATATATACATATATATACATATATACACATATACATATATATATATATATATATATATATATATATATATATATATATATATATATATATATATATATATATATATATATATATATATCACCCCTCCTCACATTTCAACAAACATTTTAGTATATCTTCTCAAGGGACAATACTATAGAAATTAAACTTGGATATATTTTAGAGTTGTCAATGTGCTGCTTGTATAGCAGTATTACTGTCCTCTGAATACATACAGCCATTATTGTCAAAATAGCTGGCAACAAAAGTGAGTACACCCTAAGTGATAATAGCTGTACGTTGTTTAACCATGCAAAGCCACATGTCCTATTCATCATGTTCATGTTTTTGTCTGCTTGACAGGACCATACAAATTTGTGTATCTTGTAGTAGAGCAGTTAAAATTTGTGCTTTGAGTACAATTCTCTCATACTGACCACTGGATGTTCAACATGGCACTTCATGGCAAATAACTCTCTAAGGATTTGAGAATTAGAATTGTTGCTCTCCACAAAGTTTACCTTGGCTATAAGAAGATTGGTAACACCCTGAAACTGAGTTACAGTACAGGTTAGGGTCATACAGAGGTTTTCCAAGACAGGTTCCACTTGGAACAGGCCTCGCAAGGGTCAATCAAAGAAGTTGAGTCCTCGTGCTGTGCGTCAGGTGCAGAAGCTGGCTTCAAAAAACAGACGCATGAGTGCAGCCAGCATTGCTTTAGAGGTTGCAGAAGCGGAAGGTCAGCTTGTCAGTGCTCAGACCATACGCCGCACACTGCAACAAGTCGGTTTGCATGGCCGTCGTCCCATAAGAAAGCCTCTTCTGAAGCTGGCTCACAAGAAAGCCAGCAAACAGTTTGCTGAAAGCAACCGGTCCAAGAGCATGAATTACTGGAACCATGTCCTGTGGTCTGATGAGACTAAGATAACCTTGTTTGGCTCAGATGGTGTCCAGCATGTGTGGTGACGCTCTGGTGAGGAGTACCAAGACAATTGGCTTTATGCCACAGCTTCACTACTTCCTGAACTTCAGCCAGCCCTTTGTTTCCTGTCTGTCATTATTGGACAAACTGATTAATCCAGGTGTGCCTGGCCTCAGTAACAATAATCAGGCACACCTGGATTAATCAGTTTGTCCAATAATGACAGACAGGAAACAAAGGGCTGGCTGAAGTTCAGGAAGTAGTGAAGCTGTGCATAAAGCCTATTGTGTCTTGCCTACAGTCAAGCATGGTGGTGGTAGCATCATGGTCTGGGGCTGCATGAGTGCTGCAGCTGCTGGTATGGGGGAGCTGAGCTTCATTGAGGGAAACATGGATTCCTACATGTACTGCTGTATGTTGAGTTATTTTCAGAGGACAGTAAATATATACTGCTATACAAGCAGCACATAGCCTGGTTAAAACCAGACCATTCTCAGTTGTAACTGAGTTATGGTCTGGCAAAGCGTCATAGACAAATCATTTCCAGAGGGGCGTCACCAACGGACGTCGTGGATAGACCTAAACCCAATCAGAGCGATGAAGGAGATGACGTATGCAGTGCGGCGGAGAAACATCTCCAAGTGTTGTTCTTTGCTCGGTTTTTAACAAAAAAGAAATGTTCAAATCGCTTAAAACAGACGCGATAGCTGATTCGAACGAGTGATGTTCGACGGCGGCATCCATCTTTGTAATGTAAGCTGCAAAATCTGCTTCAAAATCCCAGCGGTGTCGTCATCGTGTAAAGCCCGCCCCAACGTTTCTGATTGGTGCCCCGATTTCGACGGATTGGAAATGGGCTTGAATGAGCTCTTTGCCAGACTAACTTTCAGAGCAAATCTAAATTTGCCGGAAGTTGTCTGGGTTTTCCCAGGCTAAGCAGCACATGGACTACTATAAAATCTATCCAAGTTTGAGAAGATATACTAAAATGTTTGCTGAAATGTGAGGGGTGAACTCACTTTTGTGAGATACTGTATATAATGTTGAATTCTTAATCGTTTTACCTTTCAGTTACATTCTGCATTTTGACTTATTTAAAGATAAAAAATATATTATATATTATGCGTATGTATACATATGTATGTGTGTATAGTACAGTATATATATTTATATATAGTAGAAATATTTATATTATATATGTAAATGCTCTGATAAATTGTAATATACATTTTGGTAAATGCTCTGATAAATAAATCAGCTGCTTTCTAGTCTTATATTTAAACATGAAGTTGATCTAGAAGACCTTTTATTCTATTTTTTATTTATATACGAAAGTTACCATGATTGTTTGTAAGTCAAAGTAAATGTACTCAAAATAGAGAATTGTTCAGGCTGAATAAAACACTCTCTCAATCACACAACTCATCAGATCTATTCTTTGTGTTCATTTTATTAAGTACTTCAAAAATATCATTATACAAGTGCCATCAAAAATATCATTATATAATTCTCACTGTCTATTTGACCTCTGACATGAACCAGAGATCATCACCACAAAACACAAGTAAATTGTAGTTAATTAATATACATCAACATATGAATATTGTGTGGTTCAAAAGGTCAACCTCAAATTCTCATCTTAGCAAGAGCTTCATAAAAGATGTTTTATGAATCATGCGTCTGATATAATATGTTTTATCAAGGAACAAAAGGCAAAGAATTTTTACTGGTTCAGCAATGCACGATGCAACATTTTGAGATCACACTATTCTGGAGCAGGTGAAGTCTGTTTGATAGCAGTTTCAACATTAAAAATAGCTCAACTGTGACTTGTGGCTCGACCTGGCTCATCCGGATTCTCACTCTCAGCCCAGACCCGGTCAGGCTGGGGCTCTTCTTTGGGTTTGACTGCATGTAAAGCATAGTTGATAGCAGTGCTCTGCTGCCAGCTCCAGGCTCCTGTGAGAGGATTGTACATCATGCCTCTGATAGCCTCCATGTAGAAACCAACTGGGATACAGGGAAACAAAAAGATAGTAAAAGCAAGTAACAATGCAACTGTACAATAAACACTGTAGCAGTGGAACATTAGATCATATTGAGCAGTTATATAATGCATACCAGGTTTTTCCAACAAGCTGTTATTAAAACAGCAAAGGAGATCCATGAAAGAAAAGTGGAGGAGTAATACCCAGACACTGATCAATGAATTAGAGTGAGAGAAAAATGGAACTCAGAGATAACACTCACAAGACTCCAACAGTCGTTCCAGATCCTCTGGGCTGATGAATTTATCCCAGTCATGAGTGCCACTCGGAAGAATCCTTAACAGCCGCTCCGCTACCACAATCCCAAAAACGTAGGACAATTTGGTTTTGTTAATAGTGGTGATGAAAAGAGAGCCACCAGGCTGAAAGACAACACCAGCTCACATTAGTTTTGCAAATATAATTGGTCTCAGATTTCAATAAAGATTTATTTGAAATTAAATTTTACAGCACTTTAGTCATTCATTCCCTATAAACAAATAACTTTAGTTTAGGGGATATACACTGTGAAAAGGGATATTGACTAACTTTTGTGTGTGTACATATTATATTATATATTTTAATCTATTAAATGAAAGGAAAAGAAAGCCTAACAGAAATAGGCTGACGAAAGTGCCTCTTATTTTAACTGGATGCCACAGCATTAGGGAAGATTATGGGGATTTAGTAACTCTTTAGGAAGACCGTTTGTCCTCTGACACACTGACCCAGAAGATTAAATCCATCCATTCAGTTCTCCTTGCTGAGAATCTGTTGCTTTGTGCTACTGTCATTGTTTGAGATGTCAGTGATGCTGTGACACACCTTCAACACCTGCTGGCAGCAGCTGGCAAAGGCGTCCAGGTCAGCCAGATGTTCCACCACCTCAGATGCCACTACGGCATGAAATCCCTCTACTTCCTCCTCAGCGAGGTCTTCCAGGGTGCAGGCCTGATAGCGAACTCTCTCCCGCAATTCGGGATCGTAGGAGGAGTGCAGCTCTGCGGTGCGCACACTGTCCTCCACTGGGTCAATTCCCAGGACATCAGCTCCAAGCCTTCCTAGTGGCTGAGAAAGGTTAATGTTACTCAAAAGAGAGAAAAAAGCCAATTCAAAATATCACAAATGACTATACTACTACTTAAACAGTATGTAAATAATGATAAAATAATACATCCATGGGACTGAAACTAAAAATTTTCAATATTGATTTTGGATTAGTATGGTACACAATTTAAATGGAAAAGAAAATTAAGATGTTAGTAAAAAATATATGTAATTGTTCAGTTTCAATGAAAAAAAAATCATTGTTTACTATTGTACAGCAGGGACTGTTCACTGTTTAAGCAGAGCAAAACATTTTATTTTAATTTTTCATATAATAATAATTATTTACAATAATTTGAACAAGCACTGAATAAAACTATCAGCAGCACAAAAAAACAACAAAAACATCTGCACATTTCCCTCTGCTGGTCATACAGGGCAGTGCTCCTGAAATGGGCTGAAGTAACCAGTCAACTGTCTGTACCACTGATGTGCCTCTAAGGGGATCTTCCGACATAAGCTTTTGCATGACAGGACACTCAAAAAAGATCACGCTCACCAAAACACAACAACGACACATCAGGCAGAGAGACGGCCTAGAGAAAGTGTTTATCTCAATGGAGGAAACCACTGGGCGTGAAGCTGTCTGTTTTAATCATGTAGTTCAGTTGGCAGGTTTTCAGTTATCGTTTGCAGCCAGCTAAAAATAATCATTCATGTTATCAAACCTAACAAACATGAGACCAGCTTTATTTTTGCCATCGAACCCAGATCTGATCTATCAAATAAGAAAGTATCATACAGTAAACAGAAAAAACTGAACTTGCACTAACAAATACAACGGACTCAATATTTATCTGTCTAGTAAAGTCATTATAGCATAATTTTCATAATTAACAGTAGTTACCTCACTTAGAAGGCCTCCACCACAGCCGACGTCCAGTATTCTGAGCCCAGTCAGAGGTTTGCCCAACTGCCGGACACCGTGCACATTCAACAAATTATCCCTGAAAATAAGGTCAAAGGTCACGAAATGAGGTTAAGAAGGCATTAGTCTAGAGGACAAGTCAGGCAGAATTTTGAAGTGATGTACATCAGACTGACGCAAAACAGAAAATCTGAAGCTAATCACAGCATGCAATTCCACAATGTGCTTCTTGGAGTCACAAACACATCTTCCTGCTAGTCCCTCCGGCTAGACACATGCCTTTGTCCTCCTGAAGCAATTGTACATCCTCACTATTCGTCTCGCTGGACCCATAGGCAACATCCCCATGTTTCTCCCCAAAATGCTTGGACAGGCCTTGCAGACCAAAGCAGCCTGAGGTGCTCACTGCCAATCCTGTTAACTCAGCCCATCACTGCCAAAAAACCCAAGTCTTTGAAGGAATTCCCTGCCTGATCTCTAGAAAACACACACTCCTCAAGTACAACATAATAACCAGCAACAGCACTGAGGTCCCTCATTTAAACAAGCCCCCAGGGCACCGCCATACCCATACACGCTGTATACTCATCACCAATATAACTGATGCCGTGTTCAGGGAAGGGGAAGAAATTGTGCACTGGATGATTCCAGGAGACGAAGGGAAAACATCTGACTCTATACATCCTGACTCTCGCGGAAACAGCTGCAAACAGAAGAACCACAGACATGCTGCATAATCTCCAGCTGCTGTCCTCACCCTTTCACCATACTCACCATTACCTGGACACGAAACAGAAGCTTCCGAGTTCTATCTGTGGACATTCTACAAGAAATGAATAGATGCTAGTACTGTTGAAATAACAGCCTGACTCTGATTAATAGAGACGATTCAGTTCAGATGATTGATTAACATGAAGAAAACATTTGAAAGAAATTAATATTTTTACTCAGTAAGGATGTATTAAAAAGATCAAAAGTGACAGTAACAACTTTTGAATCATTACAAAAGATTACTATTTCACGTAATTGCTGTTCTATAGAGCGCTCCATTCATCAAAGAATCTCGAAAAAACTCATGTCTCACGGATTCTAGAAAAATTAAGCAGCACAACTGTTTTTAACATTGATATTAGTAAGAAATGCTTCTTGAGCAGCAAATCAGCATATTGGAATGATTTCTGAAGGATCATATGAGACTGAAGTAATGATGCTGAAAATTCAGCTTTGCATCAGAGTAATAAATTACACTTATATTAAAATAAGTGTAATACAATATATTAAAACAGAAAATTTTTTTAAGTGTAATAAAATTTCGCAATTTACTAGTTTGAATGTATTTTCAATTAAATAAATGCTTTTACAAAAACAAACATTACAAATCTTAGTGACCACACACTTTTGAACAGTAGTGTAGGAAAACATGAAACACTTTTGGGAAGTTGTAGGTGTGATATTCTATAGTTCATATAAAACTATTTTAAGCTAGGGATGCATATTAAAGGAAATCTAGTCACTAAAATTATTTATAGCCATGTTATAACCAAAATAGCTGATATTAAAATAAATGTTTTTTTTTACAAATAAATTTACACTAAAAGTTATTGCAGTTATTACATTTGTACTGTTTTTAGAGATAGTGTTTTCAGATTATATGTCACTGTCACCTGAATGTAATTGTAGATGAAAATGAGAATGCACAAATAAATATCTAATATGACCAATTTTGATAAATTAAAAGATTTTTTATTTTATATTGTGCAACCCTAATTAAAACAGTATTTTGTTCATTCATACATTTTTTTATTAAGCTGTAATGCATGCAACTTTTTTGACCGTCATGTATTAGTACCAAGATACTTTAAAATGAATGGAGACCAGATCTTAGGTTAAAATGTTATATGTATAATGGAAGTATACATTTTTAAATAGTTACCTAAAATCTTGCTGATGGTAAAGAAAAATACTTTAGTGCAGTCATGGCAAACAAAAAGTATTTATCTTTACCATCAGCAAGATTTTAGGTAACTATTTAAAAATGTATCACTATTGACACTAATTTCATTAGTAGAAAGTACACACCGTATGAAAGGCACTCTCAGGTCATTCATGGAGTGCAAGGCTGCAAACTCTCCCCGCAAGTCCCACCACTTGCTCGCCATGGCCTGAAACTTGCGCACCTCGGCGGGGTCCACAGTACTCTGGGAAACCGTGCGGACATTTAAACGGGGCAATCTGCAGAAGAAAACTAATGTTAAAATCTCCTATGTTGTTATGATTCGCTAGTAAACAAAAACACAGCGGGTAAACTAGAAAACTGGCCAATTAAGGGGGGGAAAGCCATGCATTTAACTGCATACCAACTTTTTAAGCCGATTAAATCAGTCTCACCCATTTGACAGCTGATTCTTCTGTCGGTGATGCTGACACACCGTCCAGCTGCACAGAGAACGCAATGGTTTCCCTTTAAAGGACACGTTTCGGGTTAGCCGGCATATGAACGTAGATTCTGCTAACAGCCCGAAAGCTAATCGTGCAAATTTACTGGAGTACATGACTGCATCTTATTGCGTCCCACATGTATCTCAAATGAGCATTTCAGTCATTTAAATCCAATGTGACCGTGGCGTGTTCGCAGAACTTCTGACCGAGCAGAAACTCTAAATGGAATTAAACGTTCCTATCCCACATTGGGATAAACCATAAATAACAAATGTAGTATTATCGACTGATTCCATTTCAACACACTTTATTCACCTGAAAAGGTGGAATACGTTTTAATACTTTATGGTTAATACCACGTACATGTTTTAAATTAAATCATTACTGCATTTATCTGGAACCACAACATTCAAGTTTGCTTGACCGCAAAACAACTGCCATTCCACGTTCTCGGAAGTATGCACTTAATATCTTAAAATGTAATTCAGGAAATGAATGGGGAGCTCACGTAAAAATAGGAATTCATTATACTCTCTCGTGTCAATTCAAACATGTACTTTATTTTTTTTTGTGTGTGTGAAGAATGTAGTTCACAAAATCAGTCTGAACGATGTTCACACGAATCAGGCTGATACAGTTCTTGAGTTCAACTCACTGCCTCGGTTCGTCCGCAGTACTTAACGGTTATCCGTGAATAACTTGCCAACTCTTACGCATGACCGTGAGACTCACTTTTCACACGCTCTCACGCCACACATCCATTTTCTCACGCAGAGAAAAATCGCGACGCAGAGCAGGTTACTTTTAATATGAAATAATGCTGCGTTCCAGGCAGGTTTTTGAGCAGGTAAATCACGACTTCAAACCACGACTCACGACTTTGTAGCGTTCCATCCAGTCACGCCAAACTACCTGTGCGCAATATATACTTATTGTTTCAGAGACACTTAAAATTGTAATACATAATCGTGTGTGTATTTTTATCATTATTATATAATTATTAATTTGACTGAAACGTTATATTGGCCTAAAGTGCATTCTCACCGTGTGTGTGTGTGTGTGTGTGGGGGGGGTTGTTTTGTATGGTTCCGCGGGCTATGTGACGTCAGAACTCGTAACTGGGAGTAGGCCTACATCGATCTAGTACGAGTTCACGGGTGGGAAGTCACGGGTTTGACTGCCGTTCCAGTGCACTTTCACGGGTATAAGGTTGGAAAAACACGGGTTACAGGTTGCCTGGAACGCGGCATAATTCTCAGCTCTCAGATTGTCAATTTTATTACGAAATTCAAACAATAAATACCGTTTTGGCGCTTTTAAATGTGACAGCTCGCTGTAGCGCCTCAAATGGCACGTGAACCTATCATCTCTCTTTAGCTATAGTAAATAAACACGAAGGTGTGTAAGATGTGTTGAAAGATACAGTAGCCTAGGCTACAACTTACCGAAATGTATGCCTCATACATACTGTAACGACCAATCAGTGTTTTTCAACCGCGGAAAGAGGTCAATAAAATAGCTGGAGTACAATGTCACATAACGTTACATTTACCCCAGGAAAGCCATAAGTTTTCTAGAAAAAAATAGTATTTTAGAATACATTTAGTATTAGTATAAATGAGTATTTTGCTAAATATGTGCACTATATTACTTATTATATTTTTTTACTTATATCAGTAAAATATTATAAAGTTCGTTGTAAGAAAAACCGCATTAGGCCTATATTTAATTTGAGTTATTTTTTAACCTTTAATAATACCAGCAGACAGCCAGGGCTCTCTGTAATTATGTTTACAGCATTCGGTGAGATTTTCTTTCTTGAGAAAAATTAACATCTACTGTAGTCTACCTAATATGTATCCAAATTGAATCAAGACCGGAATAAAACCACAAGATTTAAATTAAAATTGTATATATATATTTTTTTTTACATTTTACAATGAACAAAAAAAAAGTCACAGGTTTAAAACAACATGAAGATAAGTGATCAAACTTTTAATTGTTTTGCAAAGAACACTGAACGTGGTTTATAGACAATGCTAAATCATGTAATGAAGATTTCATTGTAAATATGATCATAATTCCACATTGTTGATAATCTGTCTCCACCCAGAACAAGGCATTTCAAACAGCAAACAAAATGAGGCAGGCCATGTCAAGACAGAAAGATTCATTCTTGTTTTATTGAACAATTTACATTAAATGAGAATTTATTTTCTCTGGTGTTAGGTTCTTAAAATGTTACAGTTTCAAGGTTCTATTGACTACTTGAATGCTTAGTCTTGCATAATACAAGGCAAAAAAGAAACTATCATTCAAAATCATCTGTTTTGAAGACAACACTTAAAAATACCATATATTTACAAAATGAGGGAAGTGAGGGGATTTGGAGTGGAGAGTTCACCTACAACGTTGCCTCGATAATGAGACAAGCCTGTTAACTCATGGAATTTTAAAAGAAGTGCACAGACAAGAGGCAGAACACCCCTCAACGCTTGCGACGGCCGGGAGATGTGGACCTGCAAGAGAAACGGGAGACAGACTATTAGTGCAATCACTAGAACAGATCACATCCAGAGCTTCATACACACACCTTAAACAGCTGTTGGATCAACACTGAATGAGAAAAGGGGGGAAATTATATCAATCTCAGTAGCACTTGAGAAGCACAGCCCAACCATTTATGGATAACTCGGCTATTATACATTCAACATTATGTGACTGCAAATTTAAATGTACCATGTTAATTTAAAATGAACTTGAACCTAATTTGAATTGCAACAGTTGACATTCTAAATACTATTGATCATTCACACACAAAAAAGCAGTTCAACAATAAAAGAAAAAAGTAGAAAGAAAATGGATACTACCTTGATCGTGACTTAGACTTGTGTTTGCGGCTTGCCTTCTTACCAGACTTGTGAGATTTTTCCGTTGACCTTGATCGACTACGTTTTGATTTCTTAGACTTTTTTTCTTTGCTAACCTCAGGGGAAGGGGACCTGCTCCTGCTGGACTCTGAATCGGAATACTTCTTGCTAGCTTTGGCGGAGCCTTTCTTGCTAGATTTGCTGTCTTGCCGGGAAAACCTCTCACTGTGAGAGTCAGTCCTCTCGCTCTCTTTTTTACGCCTCAATTTGCTATCGTCTTCCTCGTCCCTTACTGAACTGCCCTCGCCCTCTTTCTCCTTGGCCTTCTGTTTGTCTTTCTTTTTATCTAATTCCTTCTCTTTTTTCTTCTTCTCCTTGTCGTGGCTCCGGCTCCTCTCTTTCCTCCTGTCTCTGTCCCTGTCCTTGCTGGAGGCTTTCTGTTTCCGCCTGTTGCGGCTCGTACTGCGACTCCGGCTGCGCCTGCGGTCCCTGCTGCGCCTCCTCTCTCTGCTGCGGCTGCGACTGGCTTTGGACCTGCTCCTGCGGCCCCTGCTGGATCTGCGCTGCCGTGATTGGCTGCGCTTCCTGTGACGAGAGGAACGTTCGGTGCTCCGCCTCCTGTCTCTGCCCTTGTCGCGCTCTGAGTGATGCCTGCGAGAGCTGCGACTTCGGCTGCGCCTGCGAGTCCCACGAGAGGCGGAGCGGCTGCGTCGCCTTTTCCTTCTAGGAGAGGAGGAGCGGGAGGAGCTACGAGAGGATGAGGAGGATGAAGAGGACCGGCTGCTGAAAGAGCTAGAGCTGGAGGTGCGGCTACGTCGCTCACTCGGCGAGGGGCTGGCACTTCCTCCGTTACGCCCTGTGTGCTCTTTGCTTGCACGCTTGACCTCACTGACCTCAGGCTCACTACGCGACCTGCGTCGCTCTACTGTAGGCTCTGCCTCCCTTTCCCTAACTTCCTGTTTGTGTTTGGAATCTGTCTGCTCCTCATAACCTGCCCTCTCTCTGCTCACCCTTTCCGATGCCAAGTCTTCTGAAAACACAAACACAAAAAGTTACTGTATACACATTTTACAAGGTGGAATAATAGTTATGTTCTTTGTCAACTAATAACACAAAATAAACAATTATTAATTAAAGAAAATACACACTACCGCAAAAAATTTTGGGGCTTTAAATTTTTATATATACCGTAATACCTCAAATAAAGACCGGGGCCTTTATTTACCTGAACTGCAGATGGTAGCCGGCTTTTATTTGAAGCAGGCTTTTATTAGAGGCAGGCCTTTATTTCTAATTCGCGATCCCCGCCCGCCCGCCAGCCAAGTTTCCATGGTGACGCGTCATGCTTGGCACGTGTTCACCACAGCCAAAATAGCGCTGTATGACAGATGTAGCGCTTTTATTTCTAAATATTAACAAACTTGCTTACCATGTCATCAACTATCTTCTATTCTGACTCTCAAATCCGTGTAAGTGAGTTTGTTTTGTCGTTTAAAACCCTTTATAAATTATCTTGATCTGTAACGTGAGATGGGCACCGCAGTTCAGAGATTCCTGTCTTTTGGATTTGTTACGTTACAGCGTGTGAATTCTTCAGTTTCTCCCGAAATACATGAAAGTGGCCGGTGAACTGGGAGAAGAATAGAGTAAACTTTATAGTTACTTACACTGTGTATCTGATATGAATAAAACACGTCGCCAAATATATTTGAATGGATTGTTATTGCTGCTTCCATAGACACCATTGTGTATTTTACAAACTATAAATGTATTGTTTTGCTATAAATCATATCTATTTAAATGTCTGAAACCTAAAATAAACATGTGGTTAAAAACACTGAATAGTTGTGATATGACAACCGCTGAGCGAGTCCGTCTTTGAGTGTACACAAATTTTTCCCCGGCCTTAATTTGAGACCGGCCTTTATTTGTCCGCGTTGACCACGCCCCCGGCCACTATCAGAGGCCCGGCGTTTATTTGAATACCGGTCTTTATTTGAGGAATTACGGTATATATATATATATATATATATATATATATATATATATATATATACACACACACACACATACATATACACACACACATATACATACATACACTGAACAAAATTATAAACGCAACAGTTGTTTTTGCCCCCATTTTTCATGAGCTGAACTCAAAGATCTGAGACTTTTTCTATGTACACAAAAGGCCCATTTCTCTCAAATATTGTTCACAAATCTGTCTAAATCTGTGTTAGTGAGCACTTCTTTGCCGAGATAATCCATCCACCTCACAGCTGATTAGATACTGATTAGACAGCATTAATAT